AAGAAAAAATCCCCCCAAATTAGAAAAAATTCCTGGGAGCCACTGGAGTATAAAATAGAGTAAAATAATTATTCCACTTGTAGGTGAGCAATATGCTAGGTAGACACTGCAATTCCAAAGGCAAAGCAGGTCTTTGTCTTTAGGGGACTCATAGTCTAAAACAAAATGAGCACTCAACAAGAATATCTTACTCACTGAACTAATCCAACAGGTAGACAGAAGCCTGCCTGGCTCACTTGCTAAGGTCTCTGCTTAGTCATCACCTCACCAGAAAGGACAAGTCTCCCCTGCATGTGCCCACTTGCCCACCACCCAAGACACAGGCTTCACATATAACAGGGACTCCAGCTCTCCCTTGCAGAAAATGGAAAGAGAGCAAGGGCCAGAAGGAAGGTGCAGAAGTGAACCAGAGAGCAGTGCGAGGAGGTATCATCACATCCACATGGTGGCCTGAAGCTTCTATGCCAGGGCAGGAGGAGGAACTCGCAGACATCCAGAGGAGGAGCCAAAGATGTTGACTAGAAAGACCAAACTCTGGGACATAAATGCCCCCATCACCTGCTGCCTGTGCCACAACAGTGACAGAGTGCCTGCATACATTCTGCAGGAGCTGCCTGGTGAAGTACCTGGAGAACAACACCTGCCCCACCTGCAGGATTGTAATCCACCAGAGTCACCCGCTGTAGTATATCGGTCATGACAGAACCATGCAGGACATTGTTTACAAGTTGGTGCCAGGCCTCCAGGAAGTGGAAATGAGGAAACAGAGGGAGTTCTATTACAAGTTGGGCATGGAGGTGCCAGACGACATCAAGGGGGAGGCATGCTCTGCAAAACAGCACTTGGGTCCCCAGAAACCAAAGCAGATGACAGTTCAAAGAAAGAGACAGCAGAAGAGAAACAGGAAGAAGACAATGACTACCACAGGAGTGATGAGCATCTCTGCCTGGAGTGCAACAGCAGCAAACTGCGGGGCCTGAAACGGAAGTGGATCCACTGCTCAGCCCAGGCATTGTGCTGCACCCAAAGAAGTTCATCGCTAAGTAGCTCAAACTTTCAGTCTTTCAATGAGCTGGACAATGAAGACATCTTGGGCAAGGAACACACCCTCAAGTTTGTGGTGGTCACACCGCGGAGATTCAAGAAGCCCCCACCCACCCGGCTACACTACAGACCCAGGATGGACTTGTTGTGAGCCTGCATGGCAGACTCGCACCTGCACCAGGCTGCACTCGGCCATCCATGGTGACTACGCCATAGAATGTTGCATCTGGGTGCCGTGCGGACCAGATTTCTAAATAGAGAATATTTATAACTTTTGTATAAAAGAATAGACACCCAACAAGACACTACCAGCACACATTTACAGAGGATGAAAACACTTCACAGTTTCATGGAGCCAAATGTGCCCATCTCTGCCTCTGGCCCACAGGCAGAGTAATGAGCACCTGTGACAGTTGTCCATGCCACCCTCCGGCACAGATGGCCCTAGCTTGCTTTCCAGGTTTTCCGAATCAGAGTTCAATTCAATTTAGTTCCTGGATTAGCTCTCATGATAAACCTCAAAAATACTTGTACTTTTATTGAGTCCTTCCTAAGTTATTGAAACATGTTTTCATGGTAAATGATATTTATGTTGCCTTTACTTTCCCGAAGACATAGAAGATACATAAAAAATTTTAATTTAAAAGCATACCAAAAGAGGCTTGCATAGTACCATGACTTAACCACAGTGGTTAAGTTCCCACTTGCACAGCACCGCTCAGGCCCAACCCAGACCCTTGTCACCCCAGACTTCACATCGAGGTTCTGGCACACTCAGGCAGGGCAGACTAGAGGTGGTTTTGCCAGCTAAGCGTTGGCCTGCAAAAATAGTTCTTGTTTGTCTTTTTTTTCCCCCTCATTGAGTTTATTGGTACATTTTAGGTATGCAGTACAGTTACATTCATCATTGGGATCTTGTACCTTTACATGACAGGTCTTGGTTCTCATTTTTTCCCCTTGTCCCTGCCCTTCCTTCACCCCCTCCTCCTCTCCCCACTTACAAACATTTTATTTCCATTTTTTAATTTTCTCTTATTTTTTTCTTTCCCTTATTACCTTTCCCCTACCCTTCCCACTTTCCCTACACCTTTAGCCCTTTTCTTCCTATCTCACATTGTCAGTTATCTCATTAGGATCTTATGTACTTTTATAGTTTATTCACACCAGAGAAACTATTCGGTATTTACACATGTGTGACTTATTTATTTCACTTAAGAGTATATCCTCAATAGTTCTTGTTTTTTAAAATTTCTTTAATTAAAACAGGCACAAATTGTTTGGTGCCATTATAATTTCCTACTTTTTCTTTCCCTTTTTTGTGGTGATGAGAGTCATGGTGCTGTTTGTGCTTGGTGTTTATCAGACTAAGCATAGCCTGTGGGGAGACCTGCTGGTGAAGCCTCAAGCACTTTCCTGCTGCCACCTCCATGCTGGGGACTGTCGTCTCTGGGTCACCTCCTGTGAGGAGAGATGGCCTGTGTTTTGTGGCCCTCCTTCACAGGAGGCAGCGTTTGAGCCAAGCAACCGGCAACTCCACCCAGCCAAAGTTGCTTTTGTGGTCATAGGCAAGAGCCTCCCCTCCCAAATGTGAGATGTTTTTGTCAAAGGAGAAAATAAGCTGTGCCAGCACAGAAATGTTGTTCCTTCAAAGCTGAGATGTAGGCCTGTCAGGGCTGGGACTGCTTTCCACAGCAGCTGCATTGTTGCCCTGAGTCCTATCAGTCTTGAGCCTTGGGCCTGCCCTTCCTCTTTCTCTCCCAGGCCCCCTGCTGATGAGCCAACCTTGACCACAGCTGATCATTCATCTAGGCCCAGGACTTCCCTGGTCCCCTCTTACAAATTATCTTTGTGTTTTTTGTCTTTCATCCCCACCCCCTCCCCAGTCAGGATAAACTCATAGGGCTGGTTCCTACAACTATGGCTCAAAATTGTTCTGTGAATACTTCCTTTGTATCAATAAAAATGAGAGCTGGAAGTTTTGAGATAAAATTAAATTCGCTTTTTTTTTCCCCAGTTGGCTCATAAGAAGAAAACAGCATCAGCTTCAGTGTCAGAAAAGTAAGGAATTAGTTGTCCCATTCACTAGCTGTGTGCCCTGGAGCAGGGCTCAACCTCTGCATTTCCTGATCTGCAAAATGGGTTTACTATACAAGGTGGTTACTGAGAGGTTTAGACAAATGTAGCATGTATGAAAATTTTCTAAAAGGAAGTGCAAAGGAAATGATACTACTAAGTGCCATCAATATGTAAGGCCAGGCAAGGGTTTGCAAAGTATCTCTATACACTCTCCTCTGACTCCATATCCTCTAATTTAAGTGTTATATTTTAAATATACCTCTTGGGAGGAAAGAGTATTGTGCAATGCACTGAACCCAAGGAGCTTGCTAAGTACACAGTTTACCACTAAGGAATATGCTCACTACCTCCTTTTTTTTTTTTTTTTTTTTTTTTTTTTT